GTGGCGGGGCCGCACAGGTAGGTGGCGGGGCCGCACAGGTAGGTGGCGGGGCCGCGGAGGGCGTAAGGGGCCGCGCGAGGGGCCGTAAGGGACGGCGTGAGGGGCCGTAAGGGGCGGCACGAAGGGCCGTAAGGGCGGCGCGAAGGGCCGTAGGGGCGGCGCGACGAGCCGTGAGAGGGCCGCTAAGGGCGACGCGACGGGGCCGTGAGGGGCCTAGCGAGGGCGCGACGGTAGGGAGAGCACACCGGGCGCGACTCGGGCCGGAGCGAAGCGCGCTCCGGGCAGGAAAAAAATTTCGTGATGGTGGGCCCTAGAAATCGTTCCCACTAGGGAACCTGCTCGATACCATGAGAAGAAACGAGGAATGAAATGACTAAGGGAAAGTTGGGTACAAATGCAAACCCTAGGAAAACTGTACCCCATATGTGCTACCCCACTATAGCCTACAGTAGCTATGTCATATAAATCTGACAGTCAACACATGGTTTCGTTGAGCATCTTCATCCTCAATAGTGAAGAACTCTTCAACGAATTCGATATCACTGTTGCCAACAACCAGTCGATCTATGCGAAGAGTTGCGGGCAGATTCAACTGGAGTCGAACGACACAGGCTACTGCATTCACATCAGCGACGTCCTTGTCGTGCCGGAACTTCAATTCAATCTTCTGTCAGCCGCCCAGCTGATGAAGTGCGGCGTTCACTTGCAAACATTCGAGGACGAATTTCATTTAATACACGACGGGAACCTCCTCGGCAAGGCAAAGAATGAAAATGGAGTGTTCGTGCTCGATTTCGACTCATCTAGAAACACCGGCGACAGAGACCGTATCATCGTCCTTGATCCACCTGGGCATCCGTCGCCACCAATATGGAGTCACCCAGAGGAGACTGACTACCAGCGGCCAGGCCCCGACGGAACCTTCCGTGCTCTTGCGGTACCCGTTGCTTCGACCATGAATCATGCGGACACCGGACCACAAGCAGTAGAAGAAGAATAAGAAATCAGTTTGGAAACAGCAAACACGGGAGCAGGAGAAAACACCGCAGGAGGATGAGCACAAGCGATATGGCCCAGGGTTACGGAACCTACCGGCTGGAACCTGGCTGAAGGATGGGACGCAGCAGACATCAATCTGGTCACACGCGTATGGGGAGCACGTCCCGACACCGAAGGAGGATGGTCGAAGTTCCTGCAACAGAAGAGGAACCAGAGGTTATTGAAGCGGCACCAGAGGAAGAAGAGGAGGAATCGCTGACCGAATATGAACCTCACCTTCTCCCCGTTACGACGGACGGAAGAAGCCATCTCCGCCTCGAGACAAGGGGAGCAGCGATCGGCGACACCGACTTCGAAGAAGGAGAAATTACCCAGCCAGAAGATCGTCACCGGAAAATTACGCCAACTCCTCCGGAAGGACCGCTGGAACTCCCCGTGACAATTGACACCGCGACAATCGGCGATTCCAGCGGGACATATCACGGGACGAAGCTTGAGACTCTTCATGCGGCAGCATTTGAAGTCCTCGTTCCTGAAGAACATGCGGACGAAGTGGGAAAGGAGACGGCAGAATAGATTTTGGCACGAGAGAAGCAACTCTACGCACGCACACGGGGATACCGCACTGACGCCGACATCTGGCACAAACGACTCGGCCACCCCTCAATGGAGGTACTCAACAACTGCATCAAAGCCAAGGTGTTCGCAGAAGACGCACTGCTGTTACCCGACGGAAGGTTACTCAAGCCGAAAGACGACTTACCCAACTGCAGCGTCTGCCCAGAAGCCGCGCTACGTCACACTCCCTTCGCCGAAAATATACCCCGAGCCGAGCGGTACTAACCACTCGATAAGGTCTACAGCGATTTTCTGGTGCTGATGGCAAAAGGACTAAGAGGAGAGCAGTACACCCTTACCTTCATCGACGCCGGCACACGGTTGGTCTGGGCTGCTAACGTTAGTAACCGCTACCTCGCTTACCAGTGCTTCTATCTGTGGCTCAAGATGGCAAAAACGCAGAGTGAAGGGAAGAAGGTGAAGGCCTTCCAGACAGACGGGGCATTAGAGTTCATGACAGAGGAGTTCAAAACCCTCTGTGCGGAAGAGGGAATCCTGCGGATGATCTCTCTCCCTACGCTCACGAGCAGCAGGGACTGGCGGAACGGACCAACAGGAGCCTCCCGACAAAGATGCGAGCTCTCATGAGGCAGTCGGCTGTGCCAACCATCTACTGGTCCTACGCCATGGCACATGCTGTGCGCATGCACAACATGCTTTCTTCGAAGGCCCTGCCCAACAACACCTCACCTTTTAAAGAGTGGACAGGCAAAATTCCAGACACGCGCACGCTTCGGGTTTTTTTGTGTATGGTACAGTACCGCCCCCACACTGCCCGAACCGGAAAGTTTGAAGATCGTGCGCGCTGGGGTATTCACCTCGGCATCGAACCAGAGTATCACGCTTGGACCATACTCGACTTCGCCACCCATCAAGTCACGCGTTCACGTGATTGTATCTTCTACGAAACGCTGACGCTGCCACTGTATCGCCAGCACCGAACTGCACAGGACGCACCGGACAATATTTTCCAGGGGGGACACAGCTATGCAAGTGATCAAGAAGAAGTTGACGTGGCAGGCCAGCAGCCAGAGGAACCAACTGCAGGAGAAGCACCCTTCGTACCCGTTACAGAGGAGTTCGGCACCGCGCATTTCTTCCCAACTGACCCCGATCAACGCGAAGCAGTACAGGCACAACACGACTATGCAAGAGCAGAAATGCACTCACCCATGGAGGAAGACCCCAACCGCGACTCCTCTCGCGACACAGTTTGCGACATCCCTGGCGACGATGACGACGTGGTGGAAGTAACCGATGCAGTAGAGTCCAACCTCACCGGGCTTCGCATTCTCGGCCTCGCCGTCGCCATCCGTGGTAACCAGCAGCTGGTTGAGCCCACCACCGTTCGTCAGGCTCTGCAGGGACCCAATGCCGAAAATGGAGAACAGCCATGGCCGCAGAAGTCGCCGCACTCCAGAGGCACGGAACCTGGAAGCTGGTACCACGCCGACACGCAAAGGGGAGGAAAATTCTCACAGGAAAATGGGTGTTCAGAATCAAGACTCTTGCGGACGGCGCCATCGACAAATACAAAGCACGCTGGGTAGTTCGCGGCTTCGAACAAACCCAATTTGTCGACTATGACAAGACCTTCGCACCTGTCGGACGTCACACCTCCGTGCGAATCCTCATCTGCGTCGCAGCCGTGAAGCAGCGTCCACTCCGCCAGATAGACGTCTCAAACGCATTCCTATATGCAATCGTCGAGCAGCCGCACGCCTTCGAGGAGGACAGCGATGCCGTATGCCTCCTCCAGAAGTCTCTCTACGGGATCAAGTAGGCACCGCGCCTGTGGCAGCAGTACCTCCACACCGTGCTCATCGAGCTCGGATTCCAGCAGCTACCCCACGATCAGGGGATGTACCGTCTCGAGTCCCGCGGCAGCTTCATCCTGCTCGTCGCCTACGTGGACGACCTGCTCTACACCGGGGACAATGTGGAACTGCTCGATTGCTTCGAGAGCGATATCAAGCAGAAGCTCGAGGTGACCGTGAATCACAATGTCACCCAGTTTCTGGGCCTCAACATGACGCAGTCGGTCGATACAATCCATCTATCCGCCGCGAAGTACGCCGAGACACTTGCAAAGAAGTTCGGCATCGCCCCCATCGGTATCACCACTCCCTTCCGCATCCCTCCTTTTAACCACGAGCCCGATACCACCCCACTATCCGTCGCCGACCACCGCCTCTACCAGCAACATCTCGGGTGTCTGCTCTTTGCCGCCGTCATGTGCCGCCCGAACCTATCGTACGCCGCTTGCCAGCTCGCCGAGTACCTGCGCCGACCTGAAGGGGAGAACATGGCGGACCTTCGACGCGCCCTACAGTATTTCATATCTACACCTGACGTCGGCCTTACCTACAAGGCAAACTTAACGGCTACTTTGCAGCTTACCGGCTACGTGGACGCTGACCACGCAGGGGACGCAGACAACAGAAGGTCCCCCACAAGGTTTATTTTCAAGCTCGAACCTGCAGGAACCATCTCCTGGAACTCACAGAAACAGGAGCTCATCGCCCTTTCGTCAGTAGAAGCCGAGTTCATCGCAGCAAGTGCAGCAGTTCGCGAAGGAATCTACCTCACGGAGCTCCTACAGGAAACGAAGATGGCGATGAACGGGTCATTCAAGTTACTGTGCGACAACCAGAGCGCGATCAAGATCGCGAACAAACCCAGCTTCGTCAACGACACGAAACACATCGCCCTGCGTTACTTCTTCGTCAAAGACGAAATCGACAAGGGCAAGGTTCAGCTTACCTACTGCCGAACTGGCGAAATGACAGCCGACTTTCTGACGAAGAAACTGCCACGTCAGAAGTTCCAGTACTGCGCGGACCTGTGCGGAGTCGTCAAGAAGAGCCACGTGGCGCACCTCCAAGAATGAAGGGGAGTGTTGGAGTAAGCGGGAATCAACTTAAGCATTCCCGAAGGTGCAGCAGTATCGCACCCGCCACTACCGAAGCAGCAGCAGCAACAGTATCGCGTTAGCCCATATAGGGCACGCATGTCAACAGTCGCAAGTCAAACTATTGACCAACCTGGACAGAACGGTTACCTGCGAAGAATGGCAACAGGCGTAATTGTCTGTACAGTTACATGCAGCAACCCGATAACAGGAGAAGAGCAAGAGTCGGTGTTATTGTAGCAATGCCTGTATTACAGTTATAATAAGGGAATGTACCCCTTAGAGTACATGGCTAGCTAGATCTATTTATTGTGTGTAATATTCTCTTTTAATCAATCTTGTCATCTAACGACATGTTACGGTACTTTTTATGCGGTGTGTCTCTGTCGCAGGTGGGCAACGAACTCTTTTGAGTGTTGCACTGGTTCTGGCAATTGCCCAATGCAGCCAGAACTTTGCCCAATCCTAGCAATCACAGGCGCAGCAGAAGGAGCGAACGACGACGGGGGAGGAGGGGAAGCGGCAGAGGCAGGGGGAGCTGCATGGGCGGCACCAGCAGCATGACTAGAGGCAGAGGAAGAGGAGGAGGGAAATGGGGATGCGTGGTAGGCTCGATGATGCCGGTCTTGATGGTGGCGATACTCCTGGCGGTAGTGCGGGCTCCTGGTAGGGACACAAGGAATACGTGAAAGAGAAACAAACAGGAGAAACAGATTGGACGACGAATGAGGGCTATGGTGGGGCTTGCAGTCAGGGTGGCGGCATGGAGATTAGCAATGATGGAAACTCCAGAGGGAAAATGAAGCTTGAAATCAATTGGAAAAAGGGGAATGGGCAGTGGGGGCAGCTGAGAGCAACAGGTATGGGAAGGGAAGAGTAGCTGGACATACATGATACTTGTGATAAATGTGATAGGTATGGCAAGTACGATAAGTATGATAGATATGATCAGTGCGATTGCTATATAATAGACATGTTAAATTGCCCCACATCCCTGATTTTGCCCTCCACACCCACCTTTGCTGGGCCCATACTGAAACCCGCTCCGTTCGGCTCCGCGCTTGCACGTGTTGCTGCCCTTCTGCCTGCAGCTACCGCTGCTGCTGCCACTGCTGGTTCCGCCCCTCCTGCTTTTCCTGGCCCCCCAGCCCTTGCTCCTGCCCCTCCTGCTTCTCCTGGCCCCTCAGATCTTGCCTCCACTTCCATCCCCGTCCCAACGCCCGCCCACAGCCCTCTCTCCTCCAGCCTTTTCTCAGATTCCCTTAACCTCCTCTCCATCCACTCACACCTCCTCTCCGCATCCCTCCCTCTCTCCACCGTACCCAGCATCACCATCACCTCCCCACTCTTCCTCCTCTCTTCTTCCCTCCTCTCCGCCCACTCCTTCCGTTCTTCCGCTACCGTCCCCAGAACCTTCCGCACTGCCTGCGTCAACAACAATTTTCACGCGTTTAGAGCTCGCCTTTTGTTGTGCTGGCGACGACATTGCCAGAATGCGAAGTCTTTATTGACGACCCTTTTATGTGAAGTTGCCATACACGACGACCTCTGCTAGGTTCAATGGTAATTCTTATATTGGGTTTCCATAGTTTGATTGGAACTACGGAGACCCTACATCCTATAGAGTTCGCACCTGAAGTTTGATATTCAGGCCAAATGTACCACCGCCTCATACTTGAATGATGTATAGCAATATACTTGCCACCATGAGACACGTGTCCTGTGAATTCCCAGGGTCTCACGGTGTTAAAACTACAACGAGAGGAATGGTAGACTAGGGTTGAGATGTGATACAAGTACTAGACCTAATTGGGGTTGTACCCCTTGTGGTGTACCCCAGCCACAAGGCCAGTTCACATGCAGAGTTATAATAGCAAGGCAGTACACTGATCACAACCTAGCAAGAGTAAACATGCAGGTATAAAGATATATATCAGTGTACAACAAGTGCAATTCAAGCAACCAGCAGGTGAGACAGAGTGGGCACAAGCCCAACAGCAGTGCAGAAACGCTGATGATCACCAGACCCAAGGGCCTTGGTGGACACATCAGCAGTGTTGGCCCACGAGGCCACGTAGGAAAGGCGGAGCTCACGACGCTGCTGCAGCTCACAAGCAAGGAAGTAGCGAAGAGCAATGTGCTTCGTTCTGTGCTCCAGTCTCTGCTCGCGACACAAGGCAAGCATTGCCTTGTTGTCGACGTACAGAAGTGGAGGAGAACGAGGCCGCTCCCCCAAGTCGGTCAGCAGGTAGGTCAGCCAGCGTAGCTCCTGTGCAGCCATAGCCCCAGCGTAGATCTCGGCCTCACAGTTGGAACCAAGCACCGAAGATGAACGAGTGGACCTCCACGAGACACAACCAGAGCCGAAACTGAAGGTGTAACCCTGGGACGATCTCTGAGTCGCCTGGTCGTCAACCCAGGAAGCGTCGAAGTGACCTGTGAGGACTACTAAGTCCCGTCCTCCAAGCACAAGTCCCATGCCTGATGTACTGCACAAGTAACGCAGTACCCTCTTCGCAACATCCCAGTACACCTTTCGGTGTCTACCGGGAGCCACGTAGCGAGCCAGAAGGCTGTGAGGGTACGCGAGGTAAGGTCGAGTGCAAGTCATCAGGTACATGAGACAACCCACAAGCTCTGGGTACGGACCGCTCAGCTCTACGGACTCGTCCGAAGGTGGAGCTGCGAGCGAGTGGCCTGTAGACAGAGGAGTGGGCTGTGGCGAGGACCACGTGAAGCCAAAGCGCTGAAGGACCTGGTGCACCATGTGTGACTACGTCAGGGTGATGGTGCGCCGTGCTCTGTCCCGGGTGATCTGCAAGCCAAGATAGCTCCGCAGCTCACCCAGGTCAGTGCAGGTGTGTCTCTCCTGCAGCTCCGCCTTCACTAGGGCCAGTGCCTCAGTGTCAGCAGTCGCAAAGATCAAGTCGTCGACGTACACGAGGATGTAGAACGCCGGCAGAGTAGTGTCAGTGCGCAGAAACAGCGACGGGTCAGCTGTCGAGGGAGCGAAACCAAGAGCCGCAAGTGTCGTCCTCAGTGTGTCGTGCCACTCACGGGGCGCCTGACGCAGGCCGTACACTAGTCGTCGTAGGCTCCACTGGTTACCCTCAGGAAACGACCCAGTGAAGCCATCTGGACAGCGCAGCCAGATGGCCTCGTGAAGGCTACCCTGCAAGAAAGTTGTCGAGAAGTCGAGGGAGTGCAGCTCGTAGTCACGCTGTGCTGCAACGTGTAGCAACACCCGAAGAGTGGTCATCTTCGGGGTGGGGGAGAAGGTCTGAAAGAAGTCAACCCCCTCACACTGACTGAAGCCTCGAGCAACGTATCGTGCCTTGAAGGCAGGCGGAGAACCCGGTGGCCGACATGCCACTGACGATGTTCGCCCCCGGAGGGGGAACCTCGTCAACGTAGGTGCCTGTGGACTTCTAGGAAGCCATCTCTGCTTCCATGGCTGTCTGCCGCTGAGAGGAGTACTCACGCGAGATCGCCTTTATGTAAGAGCACGGGGTGGGGATGTCAAGTGCATCCGGGTCTCCCTCAGGGGCAAGCAGCATGGTAGCGAGATGAGGTTCAGCAGCCGCAAGGCACTCCAGCTCCTCCTGTCTGTCCTCAAGGACGTCAAAACCAAGGGCAACCTCACCCCCGACGGACGGAGGACAGGCAGGGTCAGGGTCAGAAACAAGACTCGCAAGGTAGTCTAGGCGGTACGCAGCAGCAAAGTCGACTAGCTCAGCGATAAAGGCAGACGCAGCAGGAGACGATAACGTAGGGTCCGTCACAACTGTAGCAAGAAAGCGAGTGACATTCGGACTGGAAGCACGAGCAAGGTCAGGCGGAGGGTCAACAACGTCAGGAAGAGAAGACACATGAGGTGATGGCAGAACAACACGCTGTGGAACAGAGGAAGGACGGAGAGTCCTATCGTGAGTGCCTGGGACAGCTGGAGCACGAGGACGGCGCACTCGACGAACACGAGCAGGAACGGAAGCTCTAGTCTCAGTCTCTCGACGCTCAGGAGTGGAAGCTCGAATCTCAGGCTCTCCACGCTCAGTCAGGGACTCTGTCACCGCAGTGTAAGGAGCAGGAGTAGGCAGTGGGGAGTGAGGCAGTACCTGTGGCTGAGACTGGTCTGCCGGTGGAAACAGTAACGGAGGGGTAGTACCAGCGACAGGGAACTCAATGGCAGCTGGCGGAAGACCGAGAAGGTGGCGAAGCGCACCAACAGGTCCAGTACCTCCAGCACCAGCAGCACCTCCAGCACTCCCAGCAGCACCTCCAGCACCTCCAGCACCAGCAGCACCTCCAGCACTCCCAGCAGCACCTCCAGCACCTCCAGCACCAGCAGTACCTCCAGGACTAGCAGCTCCAGCACCTCCAGCACAAGCAGCACCTCCAGCACCTCCAGCAGTACCTCCAGCACCTCCAGTACCAGCAGTACCTCCAGGACTAGTAGCTCCAGCACCTCCAACAGGACCTCCAGCACCTCCAGCACCAGCAGTACCTCCAGGACTAGTAGCTCCAGCACCTCCAGCACCAGCAGCACCTCCAGCACCTCCAGCAGTACCTCCAGCACCTCCAGTACCAGCAGTACCTCCAACAGGAACTCCAGCACCTCCAGCACCAGCAGGACCTCCAGGACTAGCAGCGCCAGCACCTCCAGCACCTCCAGCACCAGCAGCACCTCCAGCACCTCCGGCAGTACCTCCAGCACCTCCAGCACCAGCAGTACCTCCAGGACTAGCAGCTCCAGCACCAGCAGCATCGTACCCTCCACCACCAGGACTGCCTCGCCGAACGATCCACGCACGAATCTGCTGCGGCGAGAGCGTCTCGAGGAGACCAGGCTGCTGTGGCTGTCCAGCTCCAGGACCTCCAGCCGGGTCACCCACAGCTCTACCGCCACTAGGACTCGCAGCACCCTCAGAGTCAGCACCCCCAGTCGCAGTACCCCCAGAACCCTCACCCTCTGTCTTAGCACCCCCAGAACCCTCACCCCCAGTGTCACCACCAGCAGCAGCTCCAGAGTCCACAGCAGCAGGCTGTTGAGGCGGCGAAGACGGCCTCGGCGGAAAACCAGGGGGGGTCTCCAAGCGAGGAGAGTGGCGAGTGGCCGCCGTGTCGTCCGCGGCGGGGTCACCCCCCTCAGCTGGGCCAGAGGAGTCAGAAGAGATCTCCACAGGCTCATCCAAGGGGGGTGGGTCTACCTGAGACACACCTGAGGGAGCAGGACCCTGTGGGGGGAGTGGGTCTACCGGGGGGGGGACTGGTACCAGGAAGAGAGGCGCTAGGGGGACCGAGCGGGACGCGTGCGGGTGTAGCCTGTAGAAACAGACAGACTCGTCAAAGGTGACGTCGTGGGAGGAGAAGACTCGACGCGAGCACGGGTGGTAGAACTGCCACGGCGGGGCGTCGGTGGGGAAGCCAAGGAAGACGCAGCGGAGAGTGCGAGAGGAGAGCTTGCTCGCTTTGGCATCGCGAACAAGGGAGAGCGCGCCCCAGACCCGAAACACCGACGCATCGCCAACCTTCCCCGTCCACCGGAGTGTGGGCGAGGTCTCAGGCTCAGAGACACGGGGCCAGAGGTTGAGCTGATGCGCAGCGTATCGGACCACAAGCCAATGCGACGCTCAGCAATCCCATTTTGCTGAGGAGAGGCCGGA